CCCCTCTTCCTTTTGCCTTCCACTTTCCCCAGCATAATTGTCTTCTCTAGGCTTTCCTGTCTCCTCATGATGTAGCCAAAGTACTTCAACTTTGTCTCTAGTATCTTTCCCTCCAGTGAGCAGTCGGGCTTTATTTCCTGGAGGATGGACTGGTTGGATCTTCTCGCAGTCCAAGGCACTCTCAGAACTTTCCTCCAACACCACAGCTCAAAAGCATCCTCTTCCTTCGCTCAGCCTTCCCTAAGGTCCAGCTCTCACATCCGTAGGTGACTACTACAGGGAAGACCATGGCTTGGACTAGGCAATGGATCTTTGTTGCCAGTCTGATGTCTCTACTCTTGACTATTTTATCGAGACTGGACATTGCTCTCCTCCCAAGAAGTAAGCGTCTTCTGATTTCCTGGCCACAGTCTGCATCTGCAGTAATCTTTGCACCTAGAAATACAAAGTCTGTCACGGCCTCCACGGTTTCTCCCTCTATTTTCCAGTGCCAATACTATAAAATTGAATTGTACTACTTGCAGTGCATAACTAGGTAATTTTTATAAGATAAACTCAAACTCAATTCAGATGTTTTTTAAAAGCACATAATACGATCCTCCTAAAACTACCACTTTGATGGCCGAAAGCGAGGAGCTGAGGAGCCTTCTAACCAAGGTAAAAGAAGAAAGTGCAAAAGCTGGGTTGCAGTTAAACAACAAAAAAACCAAGGTTATGCAACAAGACTGATTGACAGCTGGCAAATAGAGGGAGAAAACATGGAGGCAGTGACAGACTTTGTATTTCTAGGTGCAAAGATTACTGCAGACATAGACTACAGCCAGGAAATCAGAAGACACTTACTTCTTGGGAGGAGAGCAATGACCAATCTCAATAAAATAGTGAAGAGTAGAGACATCACACTGGCTACAAAGATCCGCATAGTGAAAGCAATGGTATTCCCCATAGTAACCTATGGATGTGAGAGCTGGACCACAAGGAAGGCTAAGCGAAGGAAGATAGACGCTTTTGAACTGTGGTGCTGGAGAAAAATTCTGAGAGTGCCTTGGACCACAAGAAGATCCGACCAGTCCATACTCCAGGAAATAAAGCCTGACTGCTCACTGAAGGGAAGGATATTGGAGGCAAAGATGAAGAACTTTGGCCACATCATGAGAAGACAGGAAAGCTTGGAGAAGACAATGTTGCTGGGGAAAATGGGAGGAAAAAGGAAGAGAGGCCAACCAAGGGCAAGATGGATGGATGGTATTTGGTTTTTCTATGTTGTACACCGCTGTGAGTCGCCCCCGGGCTGAGAACAGCGGTATATAAGCAAAGTAAATAAATAAATAAATGGTATCCTTGAAGTGACTGGCTTGACTCTAAAGGAGCTGGGGATGGTGACGGCCAACAGGGAGTTCTGGCATGAGCTGGTCTAGGAGGTCATGAAGAGTCAGAAGCAACTGAACGAATAAACAACAACAAAACTATTCAAGTTAATAACAGGAATACAGGATTTTATGTTTGAAGTGGAGACAGATACTCGTTCCTTCATGAGGGAGCAAGGAATGGTATCCCACCAGTTTTAAGGATGGTGGCACTGCATCTGTTCCTGGTTATGTCAGTGCTATTCAGTAGGGATGGAAAAAATATTCAAAAATATTCTGAATGACGATTGCAAAAATATGAGGGAAGAGGTTTGAAAATCAAGATACTCTTAGGAAAAGAATCCTGGACAGATGAGAATCTTTGTGCTCAAGACGTATTCTGTGCAAAATTCCCTGGTGGTTTTGCATACAATTTTTTATTTTACATATGATTGGGGAAGTTTCATGCAAATTTGGTTAATTTACACAGAAAACTTTTCTGTACAAAAATAGTTTTGTATGCAGAAAGATACAAGGATATTAGAGACAAAGTTGAAGTACTTTGGCCACATCATGAGGAGACAGCAAAGCCTAGAGAAGACAATTATGCTGGGGAAAGTGGAAGGAAAAAGGAAGAGGGGCCGACCAAGGGCAAGATGGATGGATGGCATCCTTGAAGTGACTGGACTGACCTTGAAGGAGCTGGGGGTGGTGACGGCCAACAGGGAGCTCTGGCGTGGGCTGGTCCATGAGGTCAAGAAGAGTCGGAGACGACTGAACGAATGAACAGCAACAACAACATGAAGAAAGAAAACTGTTCCATGCATAGAAAATACAATTTCCTCTCCAAAACAACGGCATGTGAATTTTGCACAGAATAAGTCCTGTATTGTGAACAAGTTTCAAAAGCAACGTGGTTTTTTGAAGTCTTTCTCATAGTTGCAGGAAAATTGCTAGAATTACTCATAGCTTCCTTTGTGAAGAGCATTTGCGAGCAGTTACATTCCTGCTGTTAAGGTGGTAAATAGAGTTGATCATCTCAATAACTCTTACGCAGCCCAAAACAGATGTGACAGGGTTGTCTTTAAAACTAAAAGTGTATTCGTCATCTGTAATTCCAGGCCACCAATCATCTTGGATTTGAAATTCCCCATGTCACTTTTTTAACTTGAAAGGTTTTCAGAATAAGTTCATCGCTGCTTCTCATAAGGCAGCAGATGGAGCAAATGACAGGGGTCTGTTCTCCTGTTGTGCAGGATGCTCCTAACCAACATTTCCATGCTCTTCTCATCAGTAATCTCTGATGCAAGGAGGGATTGTGAGGAGGATCCTGCTTCCGGTTTCCATACTAGAGGATTAATCATGGAAGAGGAGTGGAAATACCAGTTTGTTGCAGCCTGATCAAGAGAACAGATCCTTCTCATTTGCAGAGGCTGCTGTTCAGAAAGTCCAGATATGGGAGAAATCAAGCCAGGAGATGCTACTTACCTAACACCTTCCAGCCTAAAGTAGTTACGTAACTACATAGCTGATCTAGAAACCCAGTCCTATAGTTTTAGGCACGTAAGTCAAGAAAGAGCAGGGGAATATTACTGCCAGAAGCAACAGAAATGGAAAGCTTTGCAATTATTTTAATGTATCTAGTGTTGACATATTTGTAAAGCATTCTTAGATAGCATTATAATGCAGTACAGCCAGCTTTTACTTGGTTTACTTGTTCAATTACATATAATGAAACATTTAGGAGCAAAAGTGATTTTGCATAATGCAGCACTTTAAATTACAATACATTTAAACACATTAGTTACAAAACAATAATCTCCTGGGAAGACAGGGTTATTTGTTGTCAAATGTAACGTTATATTGCATTTCCCGGCACTTGCTATGTTATATAAAGAATGTGAGACCAAGGCTGGATCTATTATTTACAGTATTTATACCCCGCCCTTCTCACCCCGAAGGGGACTCAGAGTGGCTTTACAAAATACACATATGGCAAACATTCAATGCTGATTATACAATTAACAAGGACAGACAACACAAACAGAGGTAAAGGCAGTTTTCCCCATCTTATTTCCGGCTTCTTGGAGGTTGTGCTTAACTCTGGCCATGGGGGAGTGCTGTTGCTCCATCTTCCATGCCGAGAAGCTTTCCTCGGATCGATGTCCTTAAGGGCGTCTTTATTAGCTCCTCACTAAAAGCGGCACCTAATTTATCTACCCACATTTCTGCTTTCAACCTGCTAGGTGGGCAGATGAGCTGGGTCTAACAGCAGGTGCTCACCCCAACCCAGGCTCGAACTGCTGACCTTTTGATCAGCAGGATTTTTCTGCAGCACAGCTGTTTAGCCTGCTGTGCTAAGCCCGGCCCCACCTACACTGCCATATGGAACTGAATCCATTGAAACTAAATTATATGGGTTGTTGTAGGTTTTTCGGAGGTCACAACCTCTGAGGATACTTGCCATAGATGCAGGCAAAATGTCAGGAGAGAATGCTTCTAGAACATGGCCATATAGCCCAAAAAACCTACAACAACCTAGTGATTCCAGCCATGAAAGCCTTCAACTAATTTATATGGTTGGTGTGGAATCATATAAGCATTAAACTGTGTTAGGGCATGTAAGAAATCAGTCTGTGAGTGTGTTAACCGTATAATGCAAGGCACGAAGCTGATTGGTTGGGCCACGCCCAGGGAGCTAGCTGAACCTGGGAGTTTTGACAACTGTTACATTTTTAGGTTTGAGCTGTGCAGGAACTCACAGAGAGAGAGAGAGAGTTCTTGCTTCATGAGCTGCTGGAAGAAGATTTTCCACATGGACACTGAAAGACATTTGAATCTCTCAAAAAGGACATTGTGTGAATCAATGCAACTGTTCACATAAATGTATATATGTTGCTCTGCATTACAAAGAGTAAACCACTTGTTCTTTACTGTTCATCTGTGTGGTATATTTTTCTTTCTCTGTCAAGACAGTGTGTGGACTGATAAAACGTGAACTACGGGTGTTTTAATTACACCACAAACTGCAATATGAGTCTACACTGACCATATATTGCAGTTTCAAACTGTATTATATGACAGTGTAGATAGGGCCCAATACAGAATTAATGCAGACTCTTTTAACCTATAAACCAAGCAATATTTTAACTTTTCAAATAGTGGCGCAGTGGGTTAAACCCCTGTGCCGGCAGGACTGAAGACCAACAAGTCGCAGGTTCGAATCCGGGGAGAGGCGGATGAGCTCTCTCTATCAGCTCCAGCTCCTCATGCAGGGACATGAGAGAAGCCTCCCACAAGGATTATAAAAACATCAATTCATCCGGGCGTCCCCTGGGCAACGTCCTTGCAGACAGCCAATTCTCTCACACCAGAAGCGACTTGCAGTTTCTCAAGTCACTCCTGACATGACAAAAAATTTGAAAGATTTAAAGGAAACCTGCAACACTTTTGAGACTAAACAGAAGCTTTATAGACTTCAGTCCACTTCATCAGATGCTGGATTCCTTTATATACCTTTATACTATAACATCCTAACTCAGATAAATACTTTCACAGCATTGCTATGCCTTTTGGCCAAAAAAGTGGGGGAGTTCCCATCCCAAAGCAACTAAGCACCGCTCAAATAGTTAAAATCCATTTTTGCACACATTTTTCTGTATGAGGTTTCAAAGGAATATGTTTTTATGCACATGCATGCATTTTTGGCATGCACCGTTGAAGGCCTGGAATAGCCCACTGTGTTATAAACTTGAGAAAAGCTGAGATTTCTGCATTTAAATGCATTCCAGATCATGTTCAATGTGGAGCAATAATTTGGTCCTGTTATACATCTATAGAGCAGAGCTTTGAAAAACATAGACTACCACTTCCAGAATTCTTAGCTGAAATGGCAAGCTGTGGCAATAAAGAATATCAAGGCAAATCATGTTCTGTTGGCTTTATCAACTGCTTCATCTTGAAAGCTGGAATTGCAATAGACTCCCCAAGAATAAACCATCTCCATCTGCTTTCAACAGGGTAAACACTGTATACTCGATGTATCAGGAAATGCCATTAAGCGGCTACAAGCAGCACAGCTCTACCCCATTGCTATCTTCATTAAGCCTAAATCGTGGGAGCCGTTGATGTGAGTACTGTCTTCTTCCGCTTGCTTTTTATATCAGTAAATAAAAATAGGAGCATGTTGTGTCTTTGTGAATATTTGTGTGTTGTGGGCATGATGTAGGGCTCTTACTCACTTGTTTGCAACTTGGACCACAGTGATGATGCACAAATATGGGGACATGAGTCATATTTCCTATCCTGGAGCAGGTCATTCATCTCTGAAGTGAGGAGTTACACACAATGTTGAGAAACACTTCTCATATTATGAGCATATTATCACCTATTGTGATGGCACGCCAGAGCCTTTGGGAAAACTATAGTATCTGGCTTTACTCAGGACTATCTGTATATATTCTGATAAGATTAAGACCCTGAGCAGACAGGCACTTTAGGCAACATGAAAAGATAACAAATATGAGTTAACCCCACCAGGGACTATCATAAGGTAACTTAAAACAATATATTACAAAAGGAGCCTTTTCTGGCTGCAGTCATCTCTCTGAAGTCTTTTGCCTCTGGTGCAAAGCAATGGTTATAAGTTGTCTCAATCTTCTTTCTTGTGAAGCATAAGCTGGTCATAAGCTTCTGTTGTCCTTTGGACTGCTGGCATAAAAATCCTGCTGAATGCAGGTGCTGAGGATGCCTGTTTGAATTGCTTGGGTCTAGAATTACCAGCCAATCCCAAGCCTAAGACACAGTAGCCCTGCTGTAGAAAAGAGGGAGGAGTCGAGCAAGAGAGCTCTATACGGGGATATGGAATAGACCAACTAAGGCTGGCCTCTGGGGGGATTTTAAGCTCCATGCAAAACCAATACAAAGGAAAGTATCTACACTATTGGGAAAACCTATGAACAGGGGGAACTGAAGCAAAGGAAAAGACAGAGCTAAGACTTCACACCTATATTGTATTGATTCCCATTCTAGAGGGCATCTACAATGTAGAATTAACACAGTTTAAACCCACTTTAACTGCCATGTTATCCTGAGAGATGTAGTTTTACAAAGTCTTTAGCCTTCTCTGCCAAAGAATGTCGGTGCCTCACTGAACTACAAATCACAGGATTCCACAGCAGAGCCATGGTAGTAAAAATGGTGTCAAGCTGCATTAATTGTACAGTGTAGATCAGGCATGAGCAAACTTTGGCCCTCCAGTTGTTTTGGACTTCAACTCCCACAATTCCTAACAGCCTCAAGCCCCTTCCTTTTTTTCCCCTTCAACCACTTAAGCCTGGTGTAGATTCACCCTTAGACCCATCTTTGCATCTCTTAGCTCAGTAATTCGCAAAGCGCATCTTCCAGATGTTTTAAATGTCAACTCCCACAATGCCTGATGGCTGGCCAAGCTAGCTGGGGCTTCTGGGGTTTGGAGTCCAAAACACCTGGAGGTTTGGAAACCACTCCCCTATCTGGGAGTTTTAATTGCTGGGATTTATAGTTATTTCCAATCAAAGAGCGTTCTGAACTCCACCAAAGACAGAATTGAACCAAACTTGGCACACAGAACTCCCATGACCAACAGAAAATACTGGAAGGGTTTGGTGGGCATTAACTTTGAGTCTGGGAGTTGTAGTTCACCCACATCCAGAGAGCACTATGGACCCAAACAACGATAGATCTGGACCAAACTTGGCACAAATACTCAATATTCCCAAATGTGAACACTGCTGGAGTTTGGGGAAAATAGATCTGACATTTGGGAGTTGTAGTTGCTGGGATTTATAGTTCACTTACAATCAGAGAGCATTCTGAACCCCACCAAGGATAGAATTGGGTCAAATTTCCCACACAGAACCCTCATGCCTTGAAGGGACTCGCTGGCGTGAATCTCCCTCCAGCTTTGCACGCTCTCCCTCGCCTGCACATGTGCACTACATTGCCATGCGCTAAGCACACCTGCTCTCCCCTCCCCACTTGAGAGACCAGTCAATCACAGCAGAGGAGGGCTTTTGGCGCGAGAATTCATTTGTTTCCAAAAAAGAAGAGAAGGACAGACAGAGAGATCTTCTCCGCCAAAGACATCAGAAATCCATGTTTTGTAATGGTCTTTGGTGACCCCTCTGAAACCCCCTCACGACCCACCCACCCCGAGGTCCCGACCCCCAGGTTGAGAAACACTGTACTAGAGAATGTTCAAAATTGCATATTCCATCCTGATTTGTCAGAGGCAGTGCCAATTAACCCTCACTCTCTCACTTTTAAAATATCCCAGTTTCTCTCTTCTCCTCCTTTGTCCCCAGCTTAATTCATAATCTCTAAATATTGGATTCCAGGTGCAAAACTAATCTGCACCCAATAAATTTAGTATGCGGAGAGGTACGGAAATCACAATTTTACCCTTCCCAGGAAGCTTGGGCAAAAGCAAACTGCTGCAGCCTCTCCCAGCCTATGTGTTCTTTTCCCATTAAGACAGTGGTTCTCAACCTTCCTAATGCCACGACCCCATAATACAGTTCCTCATGTTGTGGTGACCCCCAACCATTAAATTATTTTTGTTGCTACGTCATAACTGTAATTTTGCTACTGTTATGAATCATAGTGTTAATATCCGATATGCAGAATGTATTTCCATTTCCAGGACCAAATTTGACACAAATACCCGATACGCCCAAATTTGAATATTGGGGGTAGGTGGGTGGGTGGGTTATTTTGTCATTTGGGAGTTGTAGTTGCTGGGATTTATAGTTCACGTAAAATCATAGAGCATTCTGAACTCCGCAAACGATAGAGTTGAACCAAACTTGGCACACAGAGCTTCCATGACCAAGAGAAAATACTGGAAGTGTTTGGGGAGGCATTGACCTTGAGTTTGGAGTTGTAGTTCACCTACATCCAAAGAACACTGTGGACTCAAACAATGATGGATCTGGATCAAAATTGGCATGAATTCTCAATAATGTGAACACTAGTGGAGTTTGGGGAAAAGAGACTTGACATTTGGGAGTTGTCGTTCCTGGGATTTATAGTTCACCTCCAATCAAAGTGCATTCTGAACCCCACCAATGATAAAATTGGGCCAAACTTCACACAGAACCCCCATGACCAACAGAAAATACTGTGTTTTCTGATGGTCTTTGGCGACCCCTCTGACACCCCCTCAGACCCCTCCAGGGGTCCCGACCCCCAGGTTGAGAATCACTGCATTAAGAACTCTTGCCGTCTTAACCAGCTTTGATGTCGCTTGGCCTCATGAATCCCAGTTTTCATCATGAAATGTCGGAGGGTAAGGGTTTGTTGGGAAAACAAGAGTCCGCATAATATTCTTTCTGCTGCTTTCTCCTTCTGTCATAAACAAATATGTTCCCTGCACATGGGGCTCAGTCAGCAGGCAGATCCTTCCCTCAAAGAGCTAGGTCAGCTGTAGCAAATGTGTGTTGTCACGTACTTCTTAGCCAATTCTTTATGCATCATCATGCACATAATTTTCTCCACGCACCACACGTGGCTTGCTCCGTAGAGTCCATATCTGCACGCTTCTCTGATTTAATCCAGGGCTTTAGATTGGGGGTAGTGTGACAGCCTTGCTTGCCTACATTCCCTGGTTGATTTTTCTAAAATTAACCTGTGCCTGGAAGCGAAATCGTATCTTTTGGCCCAGAAGTCTTGCTGTGTTCTAATCTCAGATGCACAGAAGCAGATGGCAGTTATTTACACTGAGGAAGAGAAAGCATTCTGTACATGCTCAAGGGCAGAATATGGAGATGTTACATTTCGGGAACTCAATTTCCAGAACGTTGTTTTTACTGTTCAGGCAATGAACCTGGCATTTGAAAATAGATTTAGGTTATTATTCTCAGAAACCTTAAAACAAATTAAGCTCTGGCAAATGAAATTTGGAGTCAGTCTGGCGGAGTGTTTTGAGCTTTGAACTACAATTCTGGAGACTAGGGTCTGAGTTCCTGTTTGGCCATAAATACCCAGTAGTAACCATCGAGAAATCATATACTCTCAACCACAGAAAAAAAACGTTGAGCGAGTGGGCTTATTAACAAAAGACCCTCCTCATAAATGCACAGCAGAGTAACTTATTAGCAGCAGAGTGACCCAGCACCAGTAGCCAAAAGTGATAAAAAGAACAAAAACACACAGACCAATGTTATATCTTCCTTAGGAGGCTTTTCTTCATAGCAAAATAATATGGTTGCACTATTTACAAGAACAAGGTTTCCATAACACAAATAAAGTTCTTTATACTTCCTTCTTTGCTTCCACGCTGGGCTTCTTTCTCATGCAGATAAACAGATTCGCTCTCACAAAGCTTCCTCTCACACTGAACTTACACAGGAGCTTCACACAGTAGCTTTTTACACACAGCAGCCTTCACACTGGAGCTTCACACATGAGATCTTCAACTTGGGACTTCTTTCACCAAAGCCTTCTCACATCAGGTCTTCTCACATAAGGCCTCTCACACACTGAGGCCTACTAACTCTGAAGTCTACCTCACACTGAGGCTTACTGACACTGAGTTTTACCTTACACTAAGGCCTCTCTCAGACTGAGGCCTTTCTCCCACTGAGGCAAACTAATACTTAGGCCTTCTCTCAGACTGAGGGCTCTTCATACTGAGGGCAACTAGCACTGGGGCGTACTAAGCTACAGGCACACCTGCTTATATTGAACGGCAGCTTTTGCTGAATCATTGCATCCATTTTAACCCTTTCAGTGCTTGACTCACAGGCTTCAGCCCCCCCCCCCCGAAATTCTCAGGGTGGTCTGCAAAAAGGCCTTCCTGGTACATTATTTAGACTGTTATGCTTATTCATATCATGATCTGATCACCCTGCTCAATATACCCCATATGCATGGGGGTATTGGGGTAACGATACAAAAGGTTTGCTAGGGTAGACCCTCTTTCACTCAGACTCAGCCCCTCCCCCCGAATCAAACTCACCCCCCCCCAAATCAAAATCCTGGCTACGGGCCTGGCAGTAAACACCCCCCCCCCGGATAAACCTGGCTACGCGCCTGCATCCATTTAACCCTTTCAGTGCTTGACTCATATTTTTGTATTTAAAAATACCTAGTTAATATTTAATATTTCTGACAAAAAGACATAATAGGTTCAGCAACAAGGTCTCCATAAGTCAGAAATGACTTGAAGGCACACAAGAACAAAAAATGAAAGTCTTTCCTCTGTTATGGCTATGTATTGAAAAGGTTTAGGGAGTGCAAATCTATCCCTGTTTTGTATAATTAAGGGGGTTAATTTGAATCTATTTTAGGTTCTTGTGGACAACAACTTAAACGTGAGCAAACAATGTGACATGGCAGCTTAAAAAGCCAATAGGATTTTGGCTGCATGAAATAGTATAGTGTCTAGATCCAGGAAAGTCATGCTACCCCTCTATTCCATTTTGGTCAGACCACACCTGGAATCCCACTGTGTCCAGTTCTGGGCACCACAACTGAAGGGAGATGTTGACAAGCTGGAATGTGTCCAGAGGAGGGCAACTATAAGGATCAAGGGTCTGGAAAACAAGCTCTATGAGGAGTGACTTAAAGAGCTGGGCATGTTTAGCCTGCAGAAGAGAAGGCTGAGAGGAGACATGAGGGCCGTGGATCAAGATGTGAGGGGAAGTCATAGGGAGGGGAGAGCAAGCTGGTTTTCTTCACTCTCGAGATTAGGAGGCAGAACAATGGCTTCAAGGAAAGGAGATTCCACCTGAACATTAGAAGAATTTCCTGACTGTGAGAGCTGTTCAGCAGTGGAACTCTCTGCCCCGGAGTGTGGTGGAGGCTCCTTCTTTGGAGATTTAAACAAAGGTTGGATATACATCTGTTAGGGCAGGGTGCTTTGAATGCAATTTCCCTGCTTCTTGGCAGGGGGTTGAACTCTTCCAACTCTATGATTCTATGATTCTTCTAGGATGAACTAAAATGTTGCTTTTCATCACTCTACTCAGAAAAAAAAATCAGCCAGGAAAATCAGTCAAACATAATTTCTGCCCTACCATACCCTTTTCTTTGTGTGTCAAGTCTTATTTGAACCACAATAATTGTCAAACCAACTAATTGGAAGCCTTTGTGGTTGAAATGTAGAGTATAAATAGTCTAAACCAGTGGTTCCCAACCTTTGTTCCTCCAAATGTTTTGGACTTCAGCTTCCAGAATTCCTGGTTGTTGGCCAAGCTGGCTAGGGCTTGTCGGAGTTAGTCCAAAATACTTGGAAGACCAAAGAAAGGGAAACCCTGCTATAAACAAATGATAAATAAATAAACCCTAGAAGAAATAATGGCTAGAAATCAAGATGACTAAAATGAGACTGTTATACTTTGGCCGTATCATGAGAACAGATGAATCAGTAAGGTAGGAGGCAGTAAGAAAAGAGAAAGACCACATTTCAGATGGACAGATTCAATTAGGGAAGCCACAGATCTGGTCTGCTAGTTCTGAACAAGGCTATTGGAGATAGTATGACTTGGAGGTCTAACTTCATAGTGTGGCCATAAGTTGAAGTTGGCTTAAAGGCAATTAACAACAAATGGAATCTCACCCAGCTAGAAGAAAGCTTTTACAGTTTTTCATTTTCCCACATGATAATAAAGCAACTGAGTATTTACATCTCTACTAATAGGATTTATTCCCTTTTTAAAAAATACTTCATTCGGCATTCCCTTTATAAAGATGCTGTTTTTGCTTAAATTAGGACACTTTAAAAAAAGTAAACAACAACTTTGGGGAGCCTGATATTTGCTTCGGGAAAGAGATTATGAAAAGCTAGTTGTTGTTTTTCCTTACTTGAGATTTCAAACTGTGCTTCTAGGGAAATGAATAAACGCTTCACAGAAGAACAAGCCAAGAAAACGTACGAGAGAGCAATGAAGTTAGAGCAAGAATTTGGAGAGTATTTTACAGGTAAGTAAAGGTTGAGAAAGCATTCCTTGTTTTTGTGACATGTGGTGAACTATATAGTCCATCGACAGTGGCAGGGGATGATGAACAACTTCATGCCTCAGTTCTTGTGGGTTTTTTTCGGGCTATATGGCCATGTTCTAGAGGCATTTCTCCTGACGTTTCGCCTGCATCTATGGCAAGCATCCTCAGAGGTGAGGTCTGTTGGAACTGGGAAAAAAGGGTTTATATATAACTTCATGCCTTCCAGGAAAGTGAAGGTAAACAATGGTGATATCATAGGAATACTAGAAGAAGCCTTCTGTGGGTCAGTTTATCTACCTAACTCAGATGTTGTTTACTTTAGCTACTTGTGGATTTCCAAGGTTTCAAGTAGAGACCTTTTTCATCATGTGCTATCTGATCCTTTTCAGATCTCAGGAACCAAGTGACAAAGCATGTAATCTACACCAAGCAATGGTTCCAATCCAAAATAAAGCAGAAGTTCTCCCACCAGCTGTGCTGGAGTAGATCTTTGAGAGCTACTTTATATTCTATGCAAAATCCATAGTTTGGGAATTGGGCTGGGAGACCAGGGTTTAAATCATCATTCAGACCCACTCAGTCAGTAATTCACAGCTCTAGTGCTCCAGCTACTTTGGACATCCAGCTCCAGAAGCCTTAGCAACCTAAACCAATGATCAGGGCATTTGGGAGCTGATGTCCAAAACCTGGATTTTAAGGTGGGATTTGGGAGATGGTTATGGTTATGCATCATCGGATGGAGCACAAATATGACATTATGGTGACAATGATTACTATTATTGGGTTGTGGCATTCTCTCTTGACGTTTTGCCTGCATCTCCTGACGTTTCACCTGCCATGAAAGCCTTCAACAATACATTGTTGTTGTTGTTATTGTTATTGTTATTATTTCCTTCCCTTTCTTTCCCTGTGAATCAAGGAAAGGAGCAATAACAAATACTATACCACATTGTGTTGTCGAAGGCTTTCATGGCCGGAATCACTGGGTTGCTGTGAGTTTTCCGGGCTGTATGGCCATGTTCCAGAAGCATTATCTCCTGACATTTTGCCCACATCTATGGCAGACATCCTCAGAGGTTATGAACATGAAAGATGCTGCAGACTAATTCACCCAGAGAAGTCAGCCATAGCAGAGCACCTGATGACACAACCTATTATTTGAGAACACAGAAATGCTGGACCACTCTAACAACCATCATGTCAGACTACACCAGTGGTTCCCATCCTGTGGTCCATGGACCACCAGTGGTCTGCAAGAGCTAAAATATGGTCCACGGTCTCACCATTAATACACCGTTGCAACAAAAGCAACTGGCCTCGCAAAACCGAGGCTTATTAAATATGTTTTTCTGTGGGGAACAGGTGGTGACCACTGGGTGGCATATGTTCTGTATCAGAAACTGGCGCTGATGTGGTCTAGCCAATTCAATTTTCTGAATCAGCACCCCAAATAACCAAAATAAATCTAAAGTTCACCAAAAACTGATTTGCAACCCTTCTGGTACTAATGTTGGAGAGTAGTCCCTGGTCAAAGTGGTCCCTGGTCAAAAAAAGGTTGGGAACCACTGGACTACACAGAGAAGCCATTGAAATGCACAAGAAGCATGTGGACAATTTCAACAGAAAGGAGGAAACTAGGGACATGAACAAAATCTGGCTACCAGATTTTTTAAAAACCTCTAAAATCAGGACAGTAACTAAAGAACAACACTCATAAAACAGAAAAATTTCAGAGAAAAATCAATCATGGCCAATTCCAGAGAAGAATCAATCTGCTCCCTGCCTGGGAGAATCCTCCCAACAAAGGATTCTCCCAGGCAGGGAGCAGCCAGGCTATGAAGCTTCATGGCCATTAAATGCTAATCAAGGTGGCCAATTGCAACATCCACACTTGCCTTCAACAGACAAGAGTTCTTTCTCCCACAGATATATAAATCTCACTTGCCTAGTTTCCAACAGACCTCACAACCTCTGAGAATGTTTGCCATAGATGTGGGTGAATTTTTTTTTTTTGTCATGTCAGGAGCGACCTGAGAAACAGCAAGTCGCTTCTGGTATGAGAGAATTGGCTGTTTGCAAGGACGTTGCCCAGGGGATGCCCAGATGATTTCATGTTTTTATCATCCTTGTGGGAGGCTTCTCTCATGTCCCCACATAAGGAGCTGGAGCTGATAGAGGGAGCTCACCCGCCTCTCCCCGGATTCGAACCTGCGACCGGTGGGTGAAATGTCAGGAGAGAATGCTTCTGGAACATGGCCATATAGCCCAGAAAACTCACAGCCACCCAATATATCACATTGTTGCTGTTAAAAGAGCATATAAAATTAATACATATTAAAATTCATCAGTAATACTTCCAAAACCATAACTTAAAATAATGTTGATTACATGTGAGATGTGAGATTTTGGCCTTTTGTTTTGTTTTTATTATTTTTTTTTAATCCTTTCTTTCTTTCCTACAGCTATTGTCCAAGGAGAAACCTTAGAAGAAATATATAACCAATGCAAACTTGTAATTGAAGAACAATCTGGGCCTTTCATCTGGATTCCTTCCAAGGAGAAGCTATAAAGTAGCCGGTTCACCTCTGATTATCACAGAAGCGTATTTAGAAGAAAACTTAATCCTATCCTATTTGGAAGCTTTGGGGAGGGTGTGATTTTGGGGAGGGAGGGGGAGATACTTTTCCGTTTCTTGCAGTCAATGTGAATTTTTTCTGAATGTACAACACAAAGTGTTTGAAGCCATGAAGGACATTGATTTGGTCATAAAGGGTAGAGAAAGAAAAAGGAAGAAATCTTCCAACCACAACACACAAAAAGAAAGACTTCTGCCATATGAATCGAACGAACAAACTGTTACCGTGTGCTCGCCGCACCGCTTGGTAAGGACGGGCGTTCGACGTGGAGGCTCGCTATCCAAGAGAGCAGATGCGCGTCCTCATCCATATTCTTGGCTCAGCTCAATGTGTTTGTTGATTGCTTTAAAGAAGAAGTTTCCCCTTGATCCTGCAAAGAACGTCACTCTGGAGTTCCAATTGGTAAGACAGGAATCGGATGCGGGCGCGGAGGAGACGTGTACTGAAAGGATATGTTCCTGATATGAGATACAACATGCACCATGCGAAATAGTGTCCTGCAGGACCTGATCCATCTTCCACCAAACTCTGCAAAGACTGTGAATGCTTTTCCTTCCTCTTCCCTGGATGCTGGATCAGGTGCTGAGTTTAATCATAGCACATACGTATTTGGTACACCTCGACTTTCGTATAACTATGCACATTTATTTCTCTCTTTGGTTTTTTTTTAACTTCCTCAAATGGATCCAGAGCATTATTCATCCACCACCAGCACCACCTTACAGTAGGGATGGGAAAATATTTCCAAAAAATTTGAAAAATGGATTGTCGAAGGCTTTCATGGCCGGAATCACTATGTTGTTGTGTGTTTTCCAGGCTGTATGGCCATGTTCCAGAAGCATTCTCTCCTGACATTTTGCCTGCATCTATGACAGGCATCCTCAGAGGTTGTGAGGACTGTTGGAAACTAGAAAAATGGGGTTCATATATCTATGGATTGTTCAGGGTGGAGAAGGAACTCTTGTCTGTTTGAGGTAGGTGTGAATATACAGGGGCGGCTCAACCCATTACGCAAAGTAAGCATTTGCAGTATAGTTGATTTTGCCCAGGGGAGCTCTTGAGGCGCTCCTGGAGGACAATAGACCTCGACATATGCGAGTTGTAGTTACTGGAATGTATAGTTCACCTACAATCAAAGAGCATTCTGAACTCCACCAATGATGGAATTGAACCAAATATGGCACACAGAACTCCCACGACGAACAGAAAATATATATCAGTGATTGGTTGGGGGGGGGGGGCAGCGCCAAAATACTGTTTGCTTACCGTTGAAAATTACCTAGGGCCGCCTCTGTGAATATAGCAATTGACCATCTTGATTAGCATTTAATGGCCTAGCAGTTTTCAACGTCTGGCTTCTTACTGCCTGGGGGAATCATTTGTTGGGAGGTGATTAGCTGACCCTGATTGTTTCTTGTCTGGACCACACTAACAACTACCATGTCAGACTACACAGAGAAGCCATTGAAATTCACACGCATGTGGACAACTTCAACAGAAAGGATGAAGCCATGAAAATGAACAAAATCTGGCTACCAGTATTTAAAAAACTCTAAAATCATAACAGTAAATAAAGAACAACTATCGGGGCCAATTAATCACCTCCCAACAAAGGATTCCCCCAGGCAGTAAGAAGTGAGGATGTGAGGGTGATCTGGCTGTGACATCTGTCACCCCATTGATCGCCAGGGTTGATTCGGCTAGGCCATTAAATTGCTAATCAAGGTGGCCAATTGCTACATTCACACTTGCCTCAAACAGACAAGAGTTCTTTTCCCACCCTGGACATTTCACAGATATATAAACCCAATTTTCCTAGTTTCCAACAGACTTCACAACCTCTGAGGATGCCTGCCATAGATGCAGGCAAAACGTCAGGAGAGAATGCTTCTGGAACATGACCAGACAGCCGGGAAAACACACAAGTACCCAGTGAAAAATGGATTTCCCAAATGTCGGGAAACTCCAGCAAGGAAAAAGTGATGCGAATCTTTATAGGGTGAGATTTATTCTGGATCAAAAAAAAATGTTGTTTATGTTGCACAGACAACATAAATAATTTTGCATAGAATAAATCCCAAACTGAATGTTTTTTCAATACTGGCCTTTTTGACAATGTTCTGAAAGCAGGAAGAAAATAGAAGAAATGATTCATTCTTCCTGCTTGACCGAAATTGCCATCCCTACTTCAGACCCACTGTTTCATCCAGCTCTCATTGAGAGTGTGGGTCCATTCAGATGGATTTGGTGGGAGAGGAAAGCATTCAATCTCCAAACGCATGGGAGTTCAGAGTACTTAAAACTTGACCGAGAAGGAACACAACTGGGAAAAGCTTTACGTTTTATTTTAATTGTCTATATTATCATTTATATAAAGACAGAGGGCACTTACAAAGATGGAATAATTTATTAAAGAATATATATTGATGTATAGGCGCTAATTTCTATAGGTGACAAAATATTTTGTGAGATATTTTGTAAAGAGTAAGTAATTGAAAGGTGAACTATTTTTCACCCTTGGCTGGTTGATAAATGCGAAGGGGGATTTCAAGTTGCACTATCCCATTGTTCTTCCCCCCCAAGTAGACTTCCTGGTATTGTTTCTTAACCTTTTGATGTTCCGTTTTTACTTTCTGGATTAGGTGTCTTGGTCTCCTTTTCTTTTTCTTTTAATAGACAAAATTCTGGTTCGAGCCACTCTTAAAACACACTTTGGACACAAGGAGATGCATCTCTTGTTTAAAATGGAACCCAAACATCAAAAACATCACTGGATTGAATGCAATCCCTGTTCTTTGAGAGGGGGGGGGGGTCCTTAAAAAACCCCTCATTGGATGAGTAATTTCTGGAAGCAGTGACATATTTTACTGACATGCCACTGATAATATGCTGATTTATCCCAGTCCACCGTATTTGGTGTCGTTCTGAGTGGAGTATTCTGAGTACAATTGGAGAGCTAATCTGGGGAAGGTTCAGTTTAAGATACGCTGAAGATCAGTGTTTGGCTAAATTTTCTATGATGGCATGGAAGCCATGTTGAAGTCTGCCTTCTGAGCACAAAAGGCTAATCTTTAGTATCTCTGTGTTGTGGGAGTGCTCCTACAGAGAGACACTAAACCAATATACGAGGGTTGAATGAAAAGTAATGCCTCCACCTTCGTAACTCCTCAACAGATGGCAGTACTGGTATGTGGCAGGTACTGGCTTGTTCAGTAGACTCTCCTCTACAGTTTAATTTAGGCGGGAAGCCTTAGCACTATCTCCAAGATACTGGTATTCCAAAATCTGAAAGAATTTTAAATCCAAAACATTTCTGTTGCTAGGAATTTCAGATAAAAGATGCTCAACCCTCAATTCGTTAAATAAACTTAACTAAGTAACCTTCTCAGGACCTTCCAGAAAATCACCTTCATCTCTGCATTGCAGCTGATACCCAGTACAATAGCTTGGAGAATGGGATACAATCCAGATAATAATGTCACAAAAGCAAGTAAATAGTGGTCATGAAAATGGAATGATTATGCAGATTTAGTCATCCATAATTGTTCCATATTCACAATTGCTATCTAGTTGTGATTGGACAATATTGCCACAGGAACCCCTGGTGGTACAGTGGGTCAAACTGCTGAGCTGCTGAATTTGCTGACCAAAAGGTCACAGGTTCAAATCCTGGGAGCGGGGTGAGCTCCTGCTGGTAGCCCCAACTTCTGCCAAGCTATCCGTTCAAAAACATGCAGATATGAGTAGATCAATAGGTACCACTCTGGCTGGAAGGTAATGGTGCTCTGTGTAGTTATGCCGGCCACATGACCTTGGAGATACGTATGGGCAACGCCAGCTCTTCAGCTTAGAAATGAGCATCAATCCCCACAGTTGAACACAACTGGACTTAATGTTAGTGGAAATCCTTTAACCTTTAATATTGCCACAATCCTAATCTACTTCGCCAGGCATCAGCTGGATGTGGAGAAAAAAAGTCTGTTCTGCTCATGATAAATGGATAAATGACATTTCCATCTTGGAAACCGGACCAAGAGAGGTTACTCAGTTAAGTACAGTCAGCCTTCGATATTTGCTGCATTTTGGTTCCAGAGTGCCTCATAGATACCAAAATGCATGGATGCTCAATTCCCAGTATATACAATGGCATAGTGAAACAGTGTCTCTCATAACAGTAGACAGCTCAAAAAAAAAATGCTGGAGAGTCTGGGAATCTGTGAAATGGTGGAAGGCTGCAGTAAGGTATGCCTACTCATCAGTGCTGAGTGCACCACAAAATCAAAGTTTGCTTTTGGGATTCTTTCCCCTAAATACCTTTTGGGCCATGGTTGGTTGAGCCTGTGGATGCAGAACTTATATATACAGAGGGCAGACTGTATGCTTAACTACGTAGCTGATATAGAATGCTGGCCACTGTTTGTACGTCATGGGGACTGGATGATTAATTATGCAGTTAAAGTCAGTAATTTTTGTTAAATAACCTCTTCAGGATTGAAGTTTTAGTTCACAGCATAGACTTTGATGGTCTCTTACTTCCAACAATGGAAGGAGCAGTTCTGGGTTAGGATTGGAGCTCTGCATGTGTCACTGAGCCTCTAGATCAGAGCCTGAATATACAGAATTAGCTGAATATATTGATCAGCAGCATGAGAGCCAGTGCTCACAGGATCAAGCCTTTGGCTTTTTTGATGAGCAGAGATTAGGAGTCGCTCCCCAGTTTGGACTCCCGATTCCCTCTGAGTTGCAGTACTCTCAGTAACGAAAAGGGAAGTGGGTTTCCCTTAAAAAGTTGCATTATCTCTTCTGTGATCCAAAGTGTCTTGGGAGTGGCTTGGTCTTGAGTGAGCAAGATCCTCTTACTTTACAAAAGACCTGTTACTGGTGGAAATGAAAACTGCTGGAAATATGGAGAGGGGGGTGTTTTATTACCGATCAGTGCAGCTAACTGCATTTTTGGACACTCCTTAGGGATGTTGTTGAAGAAACTGTCAAACACTTCCCAATTTTCCACTATATTATCACTGTTCAGTAAGCTCTTGGATGTAAAAGTGCATCAGGAATTGAGAATTTCTTAGGTCAAGGTTGTCATTAATTCTGTATGTAGCACTTCTCAAAACACAAGGTGCTTTATAGCCTTTGACTCACATCCTCACAGTATTTTCATGAGCTGGATCATCCTTGTTGAATAAAAAGGGGGGTTGGAGATGGAACCAAGAATGTGCACATATGCTCAAGGCTACTCAATGAGGAGGAATGTGTGTACTCATGTTTCCTTCATTGCTTGACTCCTTATTCATTGGGCCAATGCCAGCCTGAAATCGTTAAACATTTCTTTGGCAATTTCAGATGAATCCAGGAAAGGGTTTCTGCTTTTGGCGCTGTTTACTTAAGTTAGTCCAAGTTAGCTGCAGACCTTGCAAAAAAACAAACAAACAACAGATTAATGAAAATATTTTCCAAACTAAAAGGGCTAGAACTATTTTTTTTCTTTTACACAAGCAGAAAAAGTCACTGTAGGAAAAGTAACATCTGGAGATCAATCTGCAGAAACCTACAGGGAGAAAAAGCCCAAATGACTTGGGAAGTATTGTTCATTTTTATGTCAGCAAAAACTTTGTCTCAGGTCTTGAGCTGGGCACCCCTCTCCAAGGGCCTGATGCAAAACCTTTCCATTTGCGATTCAGCTCTGTTTTTCAGCTTCCTTCAGCATCAGCTTTTCTGTTTTGTTCTGTTTCCTCAGTTTAGCATGCAACCTTTTTAGGAGAGCGATCCTACTGGTGTAAAGTTCTGTTCCTTCACGTGCTGTGCTTTCCAGTTTGGCAGAACCACTGTGGCGGAGTACAATCAAGTTCTCCATCAGTCCTTGGTTACTGTAGTAACAGTTTGTTTTTATTTTTATTTTCTGTTTCCCTGTGTACGTGGAGTTACTTTGTGCTTCCAGCTTAGAGTTGCCGTTGCACTTTTTTAAAGAAAAATAATTAAAAGAATAAAGGTGGGGGGTTTGGGGGAGGGAGGGTGAATGACCACATATTTTATGAGAGAGTTACAAAATAAAAACACCAAGAGAAGCAGCACACGATTTTGTGTTCTCCTTAGGGTCTACATCTTTATTGCTTTCATGTCTGGATGTTTGTATGCTTTGTGTTCCCTGGAGGTGAAAGAGGTCCCATACTGTAGCCTTGTGTTTCTATAGTGTTCCATTCCTACCATCAGTCCCAAGGAAGTCTCAGCTACTTCACTGTTTTGAAAGTCTGATTATTTAGGCTTTGAACAGAAACAGTGGTGTGTATTGGAGCCAGGGCTCATAGGGTCAAGGTGCCATGACTCTTGTTAGGGAAAACTACCCTAAAATAGCAGAGTATCCAAAAATCAAACATCAGAGCATCCAAAAATCAATACAAAATTGAGCAACCACTCATTAGCAAACAGAGCATGAAGTATTGTTGAAGGCTTTCATGGCCGGAATCACTGGGTTGTTGTAGGTTTTTTCGGGCTATATGGCCATGGTCTAGAGGCATTTTCTCCTGACGTTTCGCCTGCATCTATGGCAAGCATCCTCAGAGGTAGACCTCCTCAGACCTCACCTCTGAGGATGCTTGCCATAGATGCAGGCGAAATGTCAGGAGAAATGCCTCTAGAACATGGCCATATAGCCTGTAAAAACCCACAAGAACTGAATTTTTATTGTGATTTATTATTCATGACTGGAATCACTGGGTTGTTGTAGGTTTTGGGCTATATGGCCATGTTCTAGAGGCATTTTCTCCTGACGTTTCGCCTGCATCTATGGC